TGGCTGGAGTGTCTCCAAGAGGAAGGAGGAGGTGAACAGGGCCCATGAAGACTGATTCATAAACTCCCCAGGAGGAGGAGAAGACGTCTGAGCCATCCCTGTGCCACGAGCAAGAGTCACTTCAGCTCCTGAAAAAGCCACTGTGGGAGGAGCTGCCTCCAATTAAAGTCCTTGGTTGCATCACAGGACCGTGCCCCTCCTCTTTTCCTTTCCCGTACTTTTTTAGATTCCCTTGAATGTGGAGCAATTAGAACCCGGCATGTCTTATAAAGAAATGTGGTTTTATCATTCTAAAACATCTTCAGTCACTCCTAACCAACCTAACAAGGAAGTGTTTAGGAGAAGCCAGTGAGTGTAACCGGCAGCTAGAAATGAATGCCATACTAAATATCTAGAGCTTGAGGGCACAATTCTGCTTGCTTACCGTGTGACTCCATTGGGTGCTCAGGGCCAGAGTGAACAGGGGGGTAGGGTGTGCAAAACCCCGCAACCAGCAGCCCTAGAGGGATGCAACGCACAGCCAGTGCAGATATACAGAGCTGTTTGTGCTAAGACACAGAGCATGCAAACGTGAGTAATACTCAGGAGACCCCAAGTGCCTTCAACTCTAGCCAGGGAGCCAGGCACAGAAGCATATCACTTCAACATAACAGGACGCAACTTTGGGAGCAAAAGAACAAGGAGCACTTGGCAACCGACTTGGGGTTGGGGAAGCCTTCCTGGAAGAGGTGGCTCTTGAGTTTTCTGAAGGTGGAAAGGGAATCAGCCAAGCAAAGAGGAAGGGGAGTGGTATTGCAGAAGGAGGGAACAAAACAGGCAAAGTTGGAAAATAGAGGCACAACCCTGTAGGGGTGTGAGGGGAGCGAACTGGAACGTCGGGAATGACTGAAGTGAAACCTGAGCCGGGACGTGGAGGGAGGGCAGGGGGCAGAGCATCACTAAGAGCCTCCTATCGAGGGAACAGGAGCTGGACTCTATCCTGAAGGCAATGGGGAGCCACAGATGAGTTTTAGGCAACAAAGTGACATCACCAGATTTCTGATTTTTGCAATAAGAAGACAGTGAGTTGTTAAGAAGACAATTTATCACATGAGCACTCCCTGCGCCTGCCCCCACCTCAGAAAAGAGAGGAATAAAGGAAGCAACGGGACCGATAGCAGACTTCGCCACAGAAACAATGAAAGCCAGACACCTTCCAAAGGTTGAAAGAAAATAACTGTAGTACCCCAAAATTCTTGACTTATCAAACATACCTTTCAAAAATAAAAGCAAAATGGGGCTGGCCCTGTGGCACAGCGGTTAAGTGTGCGCACTCTGCTTCGGCAGCCCGGGTTTCGTGGGTTTGGATCCCCGGCACGCACCAATGCACCGCTTGTCAAGCCATGCTGTGGCGGTGTCCCATACAAAGTAGAGGAAGATGGGCACAGATGTTAGCCCAGGGCCAATCTTCCTCAGCAAAAAGAGGAGGATTGCCATCAGAAGTTAGCTCAGGGCCAATCTTCCTCACCAAAAAAAATAAAAATAAAAAATAAATAAATAAAAGCAAAACATTTCATGAAGATAAAAGGGTCAATCCATTAGAAAGTTATAACAGTTCTAAATTTGTATACATGTAATAACAAAGCAAAACTTGTCAGAAGTGAATTTAAATATATTACACACAGAAACTTGTACACAACTGTTCATAGCAGCATTATTCATAATAGCCAAAAAGTGAAAACAACCCAAATGATGAATGGATAAACAAAATGTGGTCCATCCACGCAATGGAATATTATTCAGCCATTAAAAAGGAAAAAAGTACTGATACATGGATGAATCTTGAAAACACTGTTATTTGAAAAAAGCCAGACAAAAAAGGCCACATACTGTATGATTCCATTTATATGAAATGTCCAGAACGGGAAAATCCATAGAGATAGAAAGTAGATTAGGGGGTGTCAGGGACTGGGGAGGAGGGGAGAGGGGAGTGACTGCTAAGGGGTAGGGGGATTTTTTTGGGGGGGTGGGTGATGAAAATGTTCTAGAATTAAATAGTGGTGATTGTTGTGCAATCCTGTGATTATACTAAAAACCACTGAATTATAGCCTTTGAAATGGTGAATTTTATAGCATGTTAATTATATATCAATTTTTTAAAACTATGTATTTAAAGAAAAAACTTGGGGCCGGCCCTGTGGCTTAGCGGTTAAGTGCACGCACTCCGCTACTGGTGGCCCGGGTTTGGATCCCAGGCGCGCACTGACGCTCCGCTTCTCCGGCCACGCTGAGGCCGTGTCCCACATACAGCAACTAGAAGGATGTGCAACTACGACATACATCTACTGGGGCTTTGGGGGACAAAAAGGAGGAGGATTGGCAATAGATGTTATCTCAGAGCCAGTCTTCCTCAGCAAAAAGAGGAGGATTAGCACGGATGTTAGCTCAGGGCTGATCTTCCTCACAAAAAGAAAAGAAAGAAAGAAAAAACTTGTCAGAAGTAGGAGAAACAGAAAATCTATAATCATAGTTGGAGATTCTCTTCCCCTGGTCACTGATAGACCAAACCAACCAAAATCAGTGAGGACATGGATTTGAACAACTAAGGGAAAGCCTGTACTAAGAGACACAGGAGCAGCAAAGCCGTCACTGATGGAGCCCTCACTACGGACCAGGCCTTGTGCTTCACACACATCACCAGCATTAACCCCCTATTATCACACACTCCCCTGACAGATGAGGAAATGGAGGCAGAGGAGGAACAGAGAGGATGAGCATCCAGCCCCAAATCACCAGCTGGCTCTGAACCTCCCTGCTAGACTGTCTCCCAGTACTGAATTTCAGAGAGATTTAACTAGAATCTTTATTCACAGAAATACACCCCACGGTGGTGGAGTAACTGAGGTCTGATGCAGAATGAATAAACATTAACTGTTAACAATCTACTATATCAATAACAAGATACACCAGGCACCTACAGTATATAAGACATAGTGAGAGAAAAAAAAAATAGCAACAATTTATTAAGCTCTTACTCAAGCTTGCAACTCAAAGTTGCAAGCATTTCACAATTTCGGTATCACTGGATCTTCATAATAACCCTCCAGGTGGGTATTCTTATCACACAAGAGGAGTGAGACTCAAGGATGGGACGGATGCTGCTCCTAAGGGCAGAACCCGGATGTGAATAAAACCCAAGCTCCGAGGTCCTCCCCTCATCCCCTTCATGACTCTGCACTGTCCCCATCACAACGCCTATCATTAATTCAGAGCCTTAAATCTTAGAATGCGTGTTCATTTGTGGAATCTGTCTTCACAGCAACACTGTGACGTAGGCAAAACAGAAATCACAGAATTTTCTAAATGAGGAAACTGAGGCACAAATGCAAAGAAATGAATGTTGTGGGCACCTTTGGATGCCCCACCCACCAGGGGAGACCATCAGGAACTCTAAAGAGAGGAAAAGGCAAGAAAGAACACAGCAAGCGCTCTTTAAGCCTTAAAATGGAAAAACTGCTGTTTTGCCATTTAACGCACACATTTATATTCTCTAGTATTATACTTACCAGGGTTTTATGGTTAAATAAATATGGGCTTCTAGTGATTGCATTCACAGCTCACATTTCCTCTGAGGAAGAGGAGAAAGACAGTGATTGCCTTCATGAATAATTCTCATTGAGCAAATCTGCCCTCAGAGAAATGCCTAGAACAGCCACTTCCAAGGGCTGGTCTACGCACTTGATTTCTCTTCTCCGGCCCAGAGAAAGCAAATAGGTTCCTCTCTTACAGGGCAAGTCACCCACATTAGTACATTTCATGTCCACCAGATCCATTTATAAATGAGTGAACTGACACTCAGAGAGGTTCTAAGTGACCTAGCCAAGGTCACACAGCTAGGAAGCAGCAGATCTTGGATGAGAATCCAGGTCTCCTGCTGGCTAGGCCGATGTTCCATCCAAAGGAGCATCAGGTTTGGGACACCTCAGACCTGGGACACCTCAGACCTGGGACACTGTGTGGGGCCATAGGACCTTTCTACAAGTAGATAAAGGCATAACCGACAGAGAGGCCAAGGACTAGGAAGGAGCAAAAAAAAAGCCGGAAATTCCCAGAACTTTGGCTTGCAAGGGCCATTAAGACATCCAGTCTACCCATTACACAGATGGGTAAACTGAGGACCAGCCAAAAGTTACACAGCTAGAAGGGGTGGCTTAGGACCAGAAGCCAAGTCTGTGCCAACCTTATTATTCAACTGAGCATAGAAAGCAATTTGCAAAAGCTACTATGGAGATGACAAACCACTCAATCCACAGAACTTTCTTTTTCCTTAGCAGGTCCAGATCATGCACAAAAAGCACAGGGTACAGTCTTTGTCTTTGAGGAGCTTATAGTCTAGCTAGAAAAATAGGCATGTGCACAGGAAAACAGAATCGATAACTTAAAACATCAGTAAAGGCAGCATCTACATCAAGAATTTAAAGGAGGCAGAGAGAAGCAGGGATGGCTGTATTGGAAGGATTCCTGAAAGACGGGTAAGTAACACTGGGCTTTGAAGCAGGCATAGGAGTCCAAAAGATGGAAAGGAATAGGCATGTCAGTTCAGGAAAAAGTTTTAACTTAGGAAGGAATTTTGTGGGAGATGAAGCCAAAATTGCAGGTGAAGGTTGGGTCTTAGGGGCTGGGGAGCTTTTAAAGGCCATTTTGAATTGGGGCCTACGGAATAATGAACTTCAAATTTCTTCAGAAGCAGAGAACCTAGAAGCTTCTTAGCTCATCACGGAGCTCCAGGAGTGAGAGAGGCTGCTTCATTCCAGGACAGTGTTAGTGTCAGAAAACAGGACATTGCTCTCCATCTGCAGTATAAAACCACACCCACAAGCAAGCACGCCTTTGAACAAAATAAGTTGTCCAGTCAGACAGGATGGGTCTTTTCCAAATATTCCATTCACAGTTGTGTGCCATTTGTGTCTTTCTTCTGTCCCTGGAAGCCTGTGTGCTAGCAGACGACAAACACAGGTGCCACTGTTTTTCATAAAATATAGAAGAAGAAAAACTTAAAAATGGAGACCATTCTGAGAATTTACTTCTTTGCTTCAGTTGGGAAGAGGCAGTCTTATCATTTTAGAGGCCCGGGGCAGTGCCACCAAGAGCAATGTCCTCCCTGAGCATCTGTTTCCCCATCTGACATGAAGGGGTTGGAGATGGGAGCATCATCTGAGGTCAAGCTTGGGACACCTGCGTGGCCCAGTCTGGTCATCTTCACATTTCCTGGGATCTCCAGCAATGAAAGGGACGGGAGAGGGGCCCTTCCATCCACGCCCACGGTTCTGAGCAGCACAGAGAGTGGCTCGGAGGGGCACCAGCTCGGCGACCATCAGCTTCTGTAAAGGCGAGGGGTCCAGATGGGATGTTGACCAGCCATTTCTGTGCAGGGTCCTGGAGTGAGCATGACACCCCTGTTGCTGACATGACTGACACCCTTCAGGGTGCTCCAAGACGCTCCTCTCCTCCCCGAGGGCTCACCATCGGCCACCCTGGGCTCCTGAGGCCTCCCTCACTTGTCACCTTCAGTCTTAGAGGAAGATGAGTACTTCTGTCCTTAGGTCACCTGGCCAGGAACGGGCAGCACCCTGTGCCCAGGATGTGGGCTTCTATGAACTGGCAGGGGCATGGAACCCTCGGAGAGTCCATGTGCCGCGTCCCCCCTGCCTGGGGGAGCTGCGAGGTCACCAGGAGCCGGATGTAGTAGCCACCAAACACCGCCAGCAGCTGCTGGGCCATTTCCTGGAAGAGGCAGGGAAGAGAGTGAGGGCCAGAGAAGCATGAAATGCATGAAGGAAAGCCAGGTGGTTTACACCCCCCGGGGACCAGCAGCGATACTCCCTGGGAAGACCCGGCCAGGCCCTTGCCTGGGGCTCCTGGAAGATGCCTGGCTTGGTCTGGGACCCCAGCTCTGCAGCTCACTCTGTGGGGCACCTGCAGCCTCAGTTTCCTCGTCTCTGAGGTGGGTAACCTGACTGCTGATAGGCAACAATATCTGCACGAAAAAGCTAGGGAACCTCGGAGCACTAGAGAAGTTACCACTGATTTCTACAGGCCAATCACACACACGCACACACTTCCTCACGTTTCAAATGTCTGTGAGTCTATAAAGTATGAGGTCAGGGTAACGTACTTGAAGAAAATCCCTAGCAAATGGGGACAGGGTGGAGGGAAGATCCCATGATGGCAGGATTCTTCAATTCATACACGGTACCTGCTGGGTTTCATTAAACAAGTACTCCTACCATATTAAGAGTTGCTTATAAAAACTGGATTTGTCACAAAAAGACGAATACTGTATGATTCCACTTATATGAGGCACCTACAATAGTAAATTTACAGAGACACAAAGGAGAAGGGTGGTTGCCAGGGGCTGGGGAAGGGGTAAAGTGGGAGTTAGTGTTTAACGAATAAGGAGTTTCACTTTGGGAAGATGAAAAAGTTCTGGACATGGATGATGGTGATGGTTGCACAATAATATGAATGTACTTAATGCCACTGAATCGTACACTTAAAAATGGTTAAGGTGGTAAATTTCATATTATGTATATTTTACTGCATGAAAAAAGTAAAAAACCAAAAAACGAATTTAAAAAATTGGATTTAACACATGCTCTCATTAACCCAGGCCAGCCCTGATGGTTGAGTGGTTAAGATTCGGCGCTCTCACCACTGTGGCCAGGGTTTGTTTCCAACTCAGGGAACCACACCACCCGTCTGTTGGTTGTCATACTGTAGCAGTTGTGTGTGGCTGTGACGCTGAAAGCTATGCCACAGAGATTTCAAACACCAGCAGGGTCACCATGGTGGGCAGGTTTCAGTGGAGCTTCCAGACTAGGACAGACTAGGAAGAAGGATCTGGCCACCCACTTCTGAAAAAACTGGCCATGGAAACCCTGTGAATAGCAGTGGAGCATTGTTGGATACAGCACCATAAGGTGAGAGGATGGCGCAGAAAGACCAGGCAGGTGCAGCTCTGCTGTCCACAGGGTCACCAGGAGTTGGAATCAACTCAACGGCAAGAACAACAAAAATATATTTGGTCTCTACAGTTCCCTTCACTGCTCTGGGAGTTGGGATTCCAGGGAAAATGCTTCAATTCCTCATGCGTCACATTGAAGGCCTTTCACAATACTCATGTCCAGTGTGAATGTAATAAAGTGTAATCAAGTGGGTTACATCAAGGCTGCTTATGTCGGTAGAGTTAGCGATGAAGAACAGGCTTTCGAATCAAAAAGGCAGAGGAGGAATTTCAGCTCGGCCACTTTGACAGACCCCGGGCATTTCATTTCACCTTGCTGAGCCCATTTATTCATCGGTAAAAGGTGGAAAGGCATAGCATCCATCTGGCTGAGCTGGAGGGAGGATTAAAGGGACTCACGGATAGAAAGCCGAGCACCTAGAGCTCAATGATGTCAATATCATTACCATTAACCTTATTCAACCAGCAGCAACTCCACCTAGCTCTGTGGGATCAGTGTTTCCCCTGAGTTATCCTTTGTCCTAGAAAATACTGAAAACTTAAACAGCCTACCACTCACTAACGCAGATTGATCTTCTCGCCCGCCTACGCTAAAATCTATAACGTGAGAAGCAAGAACTGGGACAGAAAAATTGGCCGCAGGGCTGGTGTCTGCCCTTGGCTGTGCCACATTCTCCCTTGCTCTGTGACCCTGGGCAAGTCAGCTGACCTCTTGGAAGCTCATTTCACCCATCAAGGAAGAAAAAAAGATAATCCATACTTCAGAGAGTCTGCTAAAGAGTTTTATGCATAATAAAAATCTGTAAAAATGTAAGAGGTCATTATAACCATTTCTCCGCCTTTCACGGACACTGCATTCCTACTGAAATATGACAGTCCAGTCCACGCCGAGACTTGGGCATTGATTCTATTTTCCCTGTAAGTTATAAGGGCCAGCTACTTTAAAACCATGTGCGCACACACTGAGCCTTGATATTCATGCCGGGAAGTTGTATTACTATTGGTTCAAATGAATTTGAAAAAATAACTGGAGACCTATCATATTTAATAGGCTATTTCACATAAACCCAGACACGCATGCCACAATACAGTACGTGACCTTGTCAATCTTTTCTGTTCTTTAAAAAAAAGTCAATGGGAATCGAGTGAAGAGATGAAGATATTTATCATTTTCCCTTGTAATAGTCCTATCTGTAGCCCCCAATTCCCCACCAGTGCAAAAGGGAAAGTCTTGGCTGATTTGGACCTTTAGTCCCCAAATTTGTTGGCTGGAAAGAAAATGCAAGTGCTCTCCTGCATCACCCCAATGCCTGAGGTCACCCCTCGCTGCATGTCTCCCAGACAGTGGCTCTGTCCTCATGGAGAGGAGAGGGCAGCACAGGCTGCAAACCACGTTACCAGACTTCTGGTCTACCAGCACTTGGCCATACCCAACAGACAGCTTGGCAGGGCAGGACCCAACAGAACTCTGGGGCTGGAGGAACTAGAATTCAACAGAGATGCATATAAGATTTAAATATCCAACTGCAATTTAAGTGGATGGAAAGACGATTGATTGATCAATAGACAGATTAAAAAATGACCCAAATATTCATCAACATGTTCATGGCTAGGCAGGCTATGATCCATCCACATACAATTACACATCCAACAGAATTACCAAAAAGAATATCCAAGATATTTTTTAAATGGGGGAAAAAACCAATAAGTATGAAATGATTCCTATAAGCTATTTTTCTTTCCTTTTTTTTTTTTTTTTTTTTGGTGAGGAAGATTAGCCCTGAGCTAACATCCCTTGCCAATCCTCCTCTTTTTGCTGAGGAAGACTGGCCCTCAGCTAACATCCGTGCCCATCTTCCTCTACTTTATATGTGGGAGGCCTGCCACAGTGTGGCCTCAAGAGCAGTGTGTAGGTCCACGCCCCGGATCCAAACCTGCGAACCCCGGGCCGCCGAAGCAGAGTGCTCAAACTTAACCACTATGCCACCGGGCTGGCCCCCCTGTAAGTTATTTTTTAAAGTGCTGGGGTGAAGGGAAAAAAATATAGAAAACTAGTAAGCTAGAAGATGTGCATGGTCCCTCCCAACTCAGCAAAGCCATGTCCCCATGAATGTAGAACCTGAGACCCCCATAGGGACTCTACGCAAATACCCCACGAGGGAAGGCGGCCCTGGTGGCCGTTACCTCCGGCTCAGCGTCAGGAACGAGTTGGTGAAGTTCAGTCTGCATGAGCGGCCTCTCCTCGGGCTGAGGACTGCTGGGCAGGAGAGGAGTGTCCTCCAGCAGGTTCTCAGGCTCCTCCTCCGTCGCAGGGCTCACTCCAGTCTCCATGACAACACACAGCTGGCTCAATCTGCTTCTCAGCAAGGACTACAAAGGAAAGAGAGAGGGGGCTCGGGTGGTGTCCTAAGTTGGGTGGTACGTGGCAGGCCCTGAGCTGCAGAGGACAGAGGGATCCCACACAGGACAGACGGATCCATCTACAGACTCAGAGGCTGACCTCATGAGAACCTGGAACTGAGCCACACTGGACAGATCTGACAATTCCCTACACGAGTGCGGTCTTGAATAGCTTCTGGAGCACTCTTCCTTCCTTGCTCTCATTTGCTCCTCAAAGCGTCCTGGGATGGGGGTCTCTTTATCCATATCTTGCAGATGAGAAACTGAAGCTCAAAGCCCTTGCCCAAAGCCACACGGGAACTAACGGGCTAGGATCAGGGCTAAACCAGCATTCTCACTTCAAGACCGGCTACAGCATTTGCAGGGCCCAGGAAAAGGCCGACCCCAGGGAAGGGGCCCCGGGCTCGGGGACAGGCGGGCTGGGCTCCAAACCAGGCATCACCCATTGGCCCTGTGACCACAGGCGGCCGGCAACAGGAGTTCCCGAGCCTCAGTTTCCTCACTGTGGAATGAGAGCAAAATTTCCCTGTTCTTCTCCATAAATGGTAGGCAGGCATTTTGAACACATGCAAGTCATCTAAATACATGGTACTTTCCTCTGCCAGGATCTTTATTATTATATTATAAATATATACTCACCTCAGGAAATGTAGAAAATGCAATTAGTTAAAAAGGAGGGGATTCATTAAAATGAGATTAAAAAGTCATAATTCCCTAGGCAAAAGCAATCACTGACTCCACGTAGGTAATTCTTCCTTTCAAGTAACTTTTCTTGAGACATTTTTCCAACATCGAGGTAATGCAGTCTATACAACGTGGCCTCCTGGTTTATTTTTCTGTTGGGTTTTTCACTTAAGGTGGCTTACCTCTTGGCTAGTCTTCATTTCTTGAACGTGGTCGGATAAGAACTTCACACAGTTCTCCAGGTCGAAGTAGACAAACCAGAGCTGGGGAGAGAGGAAGCCATGACCGCTGAGGCCCAAAGCCAGCCCGACCTTGAACTATCTGTCCCTGAGACCATCCTCCACCACCTGACCCCTCACCAGAGGACCACCCTTCTGAGGACGACTGGATTTATCCCGGTCTCTGGCGGGAACATACCATTCTGCTCTCTCTCAGAGTCTCCATACGTGAAGTCTACTTTGTATGGCTGGTAGAAAAATGGCTTTGGAAAAAATTTGGAAAAAGCCAAAACGGCTGCAGCCCCATCTCCCACAAGTCACTCAGCACCCCCAGATGGACTGCAAACCATCCTGGACACCATGTATCCATCTGGGGCTACCACCTTCACCCCCAGGGGCCGGGGGGCCCTTCTCTCTGGAACCCAACACGCCAACGAGTGAAACCCTTCAGAGCTGTCACCCGCACTGCCCAGGTCAGAGGTAGTCAACTGGGGTGCCATGGGGGGAGGGGAGCGGGGTGAGATGTCTTCACCCCACCATTACCTCCCCTTCCCCCTCAACCTCAACAGTCCCCAGAAGGCCAGGTTACCCTCAGCCAGGGCGAACTCCACGTTCACACATTACAACATCTTGTCACGTCCACACCCGCCACACGTCACACCAAAGTTCTGCAAGAATCTGGTGGCCCACATCTCATACCTCCATCCAACGGCCACCTCCTCTGGATCCCAGACCTCCCTCCCCACAGTGACTGACCCACGAGACCCAAGCTCACATCCCTCTTGCCAACTAGTCTCTCCCACTGTCTCATCCCCAAGGGAATATTTTTTAGATGAATTTTTTTTTATCTTCTATTATGAAATTTTCCAAACATATACAAAAGTAGGGCAAATGAAGTCATTAACTTCCAGCTACCCATCATCTTGGTTCAACAGTTATCACCTCATGGCTACTCTTGTTTCATCTCTACCCCCAACCATTACTCACTCGAGACACCTCCCCCACCCCACCCCACCCCAGGTGATTTCAAAGAAAATCTAAGATATTGTATCATTTCATCCCAAGATACTACTTTGAAACTGAAAGAATCTAATTATCTTAAAAGATGTGTCCATTCATTAGTCATCCATCCATCCATGCATTCAACTAACACTTGCCAAGTCACTCCTCTGTATCAAATGATAAAGAGGATTTACTGATACGTGAGGCTGAAAGGACCCCTAGATTCAAGGGGCTCCCAATCTATGATGTCACACTTGAACTGCCAGAAATCTTGTGATGCCATCAAATTCACCCCCGGTGCCAGGCAAGATCCTCTTACACCCTACACCACCTCAGGTGTGCGAGGCTCCATAAACACAGGGATCCATGTATGTCTGTTCTCTGCTGCAGCCTCAGCAGCCAGGACAGTGCCTGGCACATAGTAGGCTCTCAATAAATATTTATGGGATGAACAGGTCATATGCACAAGGAGTTTCTTCCCAGGGCCCACCCGCACCACCCCCCCCCGGGCTCCCACTGGGCGAGGGGCAATGACTGGTGAGAATGCAGATGTGGTGTTGAGAGATTTAGCAATCCCACCAGGCAGAGCCCAGCCAGATCAGCAACCCTGGGCCTCAACTACGCCAGCTGTGTCCCAGACCCACATGTGACCTCATCCTAGTCACTTAAGATCTCCCCACTGCCCTTGGGGCAAAGAAAACATCTGATCCAGGAAGACAAGGCCTTCAGGGCCCGACCTGCCTCTGCAGGGACCTCACCGGGGCACTGAGGGCTCAGCACAGAGGAGGCCCCATCTGTCTGCTGAATAAATGTTGAATGAGGAGTGCGGCTTGGACGGTCTCTGAGCTTCCCTTCCCGCCCCGCTCTGTGGAGATTCTAGGCTGCTGCTTACTGCCCAGGGAGGAGTCTCCAGGAAGAAACGCTGGAGCAGGGAGGAAGGGAAGGGCTGCCGACGCCGTCTCATTAGCAGACTCCGGACGACACTGTGCAGACGGGGAGAACACGGGGCCACCTCTCCCCACCAGCCCAGCCCAGTGGGCCCGCAAGGAGAGGTCACTCCAAGACGAATACCTGAATCACGCTCTGGCAGCCTTCCACCGTGTCCGTCACCCCCAGCAGCACCCGGTGTCTCTGGAGGGCTCCGTTGGCAGCCGCCAGCCTTAGGTCGGTGTTGGTGTTGGCCTGTAAGACAAACGCCAGCCCTGTGGCCAAACCTCCACGCTGCCAGGGAGCTCTTGGGCCCCGGCAACTACCACACACTGTCCCACCCCTAGACACCATGGGACAACCCTCATCTCCCGGACACATCCATTGCCTCCCGTATAAAATAGGATCATGGGGTTACTGGGACAACAAATTCAGTGGTGTCAGACAGCCCTGGGCTGAAGCCCAGCTCTGCTACTTCCTGGCTTTGTGGGCCTGGACAAGTTATGTGCCTTCTCTGAGTCCTACTTTCCGCAGTTGTAGAATAAGGATAAAGTGTATCCCTGCCTCTTAGGATGGGGTGAGATTTAATTGAGATTGTGTCCCAGTGCCTGGGACACAGTCGGGTGCAACAGACATCTGCGGGAGGAGGAGGGTTGCCGGGGGTTGGGTGGGTTGAGCATTTACTGTGTAAGTAAAGCACCTACTCTGTCTATAAGGCACCTGCTCTCCGAAGTACCTAGCACAGTGCTGGCCCTCAGAGGGGGGGCTCTGGGAATCCACCTCCTTCTTTCCCACCCAAACCAACGACGCCATGCACTTAGTTGACAAAGTAGATGTTAAACAGGCCGGGGAGGGGGAGGGTAATGAGACCCAAAGTGCTGGTTTGGGGAAGAGACCCCACAAGGACTCTGAGATACAATTAGAAGGCAGCCCAGGGGCCGGCCCCTGTGTAGTGGTTAAGTCTGCACGCTCTGCTTCGGCGGCCTGGGGTTCACAGGTTTGGATTCTGGCGCAGACATACACACTGCTCATCAAGCCATGCTGTGGCAGCGCCCCATATACAAAGTAGAGGAGGATGGGCACAGATGTTAGTTCAGGGCCAATCTTCCTCACCAAAAAGAGGAAGATTGGCAATAGATGTTAGCTCAGGGCCAAGCCCCCTCAACAAAAAAAACAAGAAGGCAGCCCAATTAAGGACAATGGTCCGCAAAAGGGGCAGGATCCCCGCAGAGAGCTCCTGGAAATGTGGGCTGGTCCTTTTGGTCATCACAGGGACGGGATGGGCAAAGCTGGCACTTAGGGACGAGGACCAGGGATGCTAACGCGTGCCTTCCACTGAAGGTCATGTCCCATAAGACACAATCCTGCAGGCGGAAGAACTGTCTCTCGGCCTACCCACACCCAAATGCCCCACCAGGCGTGAAGGCAGTGAAAAACCTATTTATCATTCTCTGCTGGCCAACCTAACTCTATTTTGCATATAAACCTAAAGTGGGTTTTTTTAAAATATACTGAATTTTCCAGGAATGCCACTACTATGCGAATGAGGGATGATTATATTTTGTTTGGCCTAGAACGTTAGTAAGGGTTGCTCACCCTTTCAGAAACCTGCATTACTGATGGTTCAAATCCTGACTCCAACTCTCATTACCTGTATGACCTCAGGCAAATTACTCACCACCTCTCTGCCTCCGTCTCCTCATCTCCGAATTGGAGATACTAACACTCCTTATAATCAGGGTTGGAATAAGGATGAAATGAGTTAATCCACAAAGAATACATGTCAGCTGATATCATTATGATGATGATATTGAGTTGAAGACATGTTTTCCACTGTACCATGTCGGCCACAAACATTGTAGGAACTTGCCACATGCCCTAGCAACGTGCTCTACTCTATAGGGGATACAGGCAGGGTCTTGCCTGCCTTCACAAACCTTCCAGTCTTGAGAAAGGCTAATTCCCCAAACAAGGGGAAAACAAGGCAGTGTGTGCAAAATGATGAGGCTCTCAGGATGCTGTGTGACACAGGTAGGACACTAACAGTAAGAGTGACGATGGTCGGGAAGGGGGATCTGCATGTTCCTGAGTGATGAGGGATCCAAGAAGGACGAAGTCCTTAAGCTGAGGCCCAAAGGAAGACCTGAGGAGGGCCGTGTGACCACAGACTAGTTACATAACCTCTCTGAGCTTCAGTTTCCCCCACTGGAAAACAGAGTAAATAATCGTAACAGTTAACACTTAATGAGCATTCCTTTTATAGCAGGTAGTATTATAAGCACTTTGTGTGTATTAAGTCATTTAGTTCTCCCAATAATCCTAGGAGGGAGCTAAAATTATGATCCCAATTGACAGATGAGGAAACGAAGGCCCTGAGAGGTTAACTAAGAAATTACCCAGGTTGCAGAGCTGGCAAATGGCAGAGGTATCGTGCCTCCTTGTCAGGTTGTTGGGCACAGATATCAAGATCCAAACACAGAGCACATAATAGGTGCTCATTACATGGTGGTCATTATTAGAAAGGAAAGGACCCTGGAGGGGTTCCCTGGACGAGCAAACAGTGATGCCAAGAGTGCCACTATGTACCTGGGCCCTTCATGCCGCACGGATGAGGAAGACACTGTCTTGTTCATCTCTGTGTCCTGCCTCGAGCACATTCCCTGGTACTTGCCGGGCTTCACAAATACCAGGTGAACAAGGAGGGAAAGGCGAGACAGAGGCAGAGCCCAGCAGGTATTCCCTAACTCCATTCTCGAAGCACCTGCCAGGGGTCAGATATTCACTTGCTCCTGCTACCGCAGAACGCTTTGCTATTTCCCCTCCCCAAGAGAAGTTTCTGGCTGCAGGAGCGGCCAGCTGGATTTATGTTTTTACAGGCCAAGCATAAGGGCCATGAAAGCTTCAACAGAGCCCCAGGGCAGCATTATTTTGTCAGCCTCATTGCAAAGCCCAACAAAGATCTTTTCAGAATGATTAGGCCATAAAGTTCCCATTTGTCTCTGTGAGCCCAGGCGCTCAATGGAATTCATACCGCAAACCCTCACCACACTGCCCAGCATTGCGCCCTCTCCTCCTGAGTCAGGCCAGAGCGGAGCGTTTGCTAAAGATCTCAGAGTCCGGCTTCGAGACGGGTGCTGGGGGAGCTTCCTCAGCAGGTGGAAAGCCAGCGGAGGTGTGGGAGGCAGAATAACGTCCCCCGCAAGACGCCTAAGTCCTACTCCCCAGAACCTGTGAATCTGTTACGTTACATGGCAAAGGGGATTTCAGGCTGCAGGTGGAATTACCGTTGCTAATTAGCTGACCTGAAAACAGGGAGATGGTCCCAGATTATCCAGGCAGCCCCATGTAAGCACAAGGGGCCTTAAAGATGGAAGACGGCGGCCAAGATTCAGAGTCAAAGATGTGAGAAGGACTCGCCCTGCCATTGCTGACTTTGAAGATGGAGGAGGGAGCCACGAGCCAAGGAATGCAGGTGGCCCCTAGGAGCTAGCAAAGGCAAGGAGATGGGCTCTCCCCTAGGAGAATCCTTCCAGAAAACATGCAGCCCTGCCGTGTCCAACTTCGAAACTACAGAACTGCAAGACGATAAATTTGTGTGGTTTTAAGCCATTACATTTATGGTAATCTGTTCCAGCAGCCAGAGAATACCCAGACTAGGGTATCGACTGAGAACACGGCTTGGAATCTGAGCATCCCGGCCCTGAATTCCAGCTCTGCCAGTTATGAGGAGCATGGCCTGGGACCCCTCCCTAAGCCTTTCAGAGCCTCGGGTTCCTCATCTGCAACACGAGTGTAAAAGATTCCACCCAGAGATGTACGGGGGGTTTAACGAGTTAACATACGTAAAGCCCTTCGTAGACGAGCCAGCACATCTGAAGTGCTCGGTAAGTAACAACAGACAGACGTTGAAGAAGCAGAATACAATCAGTGAACCATACATCAGGCCGGGAGGTACCAATCTCCTTGGTGATGAGACCGGGAGGCAGAGGGCTCAGGCCTGGAACCCGGCTCTGCCACTCAGAGGGGGATCAGGACAACTTACCCAGGCTCTCTAACCACCCACTCTCTGCCTCAAAGGTCACTGCTGGGGTTAAATGAGACACACCTGTCATCAGAGCACCAGGTCAGCACCCACCAGCCTCTCCACGATGCTCAACCTCAGGCACCGTGTGCTGCGAGGGGGCCTCAGGGACGCCCTCCTCGCTCACAGGGCTGTCGCGAGCATCCGGGGAGACCAGGTGCGTGACAGGGCTCAGGAAACTCCAAGTGCCCTCCGAGACGCCCTCTAAACACAGCTTGCTTCCAGAAAAACAACCCAAGGGGACGAGACAGGAGAAACAGAGAGGATTCTATCACGCACGTGATTTGATTTCTTGGAGCCACTGGGCACCTGGGCAGTGTGAATTTTCATTAAAGGAGAGCAACCTGACTTGGGATTCTCCTGCCCGATTCCGGAGGGAGCGTGGCTGGGGTCTCCGGATGTCTCACCTTCCTCTGGTGTCTCTCGAAGACAAGCACGAGAATCAAGGTCAGGCTCACCGCGGCCAGGGTCACGAGCAACACGCCCACCCAGTGGTTCCCCAGGGCAAACAGCTGGCTGGTGGAGTAGATGTTGGCCCACACCACCACGTAGAAAACCTGCGAGAGGCCAGAGTAAGAGCCTTGTCAGGAACAACAGTCCTCGAACGAAGCAGCTCCGTTCAAAGGGACACCCTTTGGACACTTCTGACACCCTCCTCGGATTCAAAGAGCTCACAGGGCCAGTAAGAGACGGATGGGGGTGTGGGAGCATGTGCCCTTGGTCCTTGTTCACAAGCAAAGGTGGAGAAACGGTGTTAGAATAGCTGCCCCGAATCCTTGCTTACCCTGATTATAAATAAAACAGAAAAGGGCAGGGGACTTGAGAGTGAGAAAACTTTGAGTCAGAAGCCCACGCTGACCCTTCAACAGCCACATGGCTTGGACAAGTTATAATAGCTCTCTGAGCCTCAGTTTCCTCATCTGTAAAATGGGGATAATACCTACTTCACAGGGTTGTTATAAGGGCTAATAAGCTAACGTATGTAACAGCCTAGCACTTATTAAGGAATTAATAAATGTCGGTTGCCATCCTTTTCCCTTCCCTAGAAGCAGGTCGTGGGAGTCAGGAGTGCTATTTGCTCATTTATACATACAGAGAAGCGGCCAGTCAACGTGGTTAATACACAGATGCTGAAACCAGTCTGTCTGGGTTCAAACACTGGCTCTGCCTTATATAGGTATGTACATATGTATGTATGTATGTGTGTATGTGTGTGTGTGTGTGTGTGTAGGTATATATATGTTTATATGTATATATGGTTAGAGATGAAATGGACCTATCTGTTGAACAGATGGGGAAACCAAGTCCCTGAGAGGTAGAAAGTCTTGACAAAGCCAGACATTGAGTCCAGAGCCTCAGCAGCAGGTCTGCAGATTCCCAGTCCCAAGCTCTGCCCTTAGGAAACCCTGCCTCCCATCCTAATGTTGGACCTGGTTACAACTCTCTCCCACAAATGTCCTCTTCTACCAAATCCGGGTCCACGCGGACTGCTCTCTCCAGGCCGCCAGGCCACCAGCCCCCAAACGCCCCACCCATACCAACAGGACACGATGCCATGCCGAATTCAGCAGTGCCACAGGGGCCACAGCAGGGTCAGTGTGCGGGCCCACCCCCCGCCTTACCACGGCAAAGGCCAGCCGCATAGGCCTGGAGTTGTAGATGATGTATCTTCTCACTTGGGGCTCCAAGAGGGCGCTCTCAGCCAGGCTCCGGTACTGGTCGGCCGGGACCTGGTGGCCGCCCGAGGGAAAGCAATCCGTCAGCCACGAGAACCGCTCCCCACCTCCTTCCCGCCAGCAGCAAGTCATCTCCAGCTCACGCGACTTTGGTGTAGAAGAAAGAGCAGGCACATCCCGGGCTGTCCCAGGAGGCAGGAGGAGGAGCTCGGAGCACTGGGTGGCAATCCCAGGCTGCAGCTCCCGCCTCAGGGAAGGACGGGTACCACCGGGGAGGTGGGACAGCTCGAGGGCCAGGAGGACATCCTGCAGAGGGACCCCCGCAGCCCAAGGCTCAGGACCTCACGGCAGACCCAGGATAGCCTAACGGTTAAGGCACACGCCCTGGAGTCAGCCAGCCCCGGGTCCAAACCTTGGCCCTGCCACTCATGTGCTGTATGACCTGGAGCAAGTGACCCCACTTCTCTGAGCCTCGGTTTCCTCCTCTATAAAATGAGGATAATAAGAGTATCCACCTTGTAGGGGTGGTGTGCATATCAAATAAGATAATACATATACGGTACTTACATATGTATGATACAATAAGTCCATGTATAATACGTATATACATCTTATCTGGACATCTTTGGGGCCTTTGCTCTCCCTACCACAGCCGGTTATGTCTTATATGGATAGAAATGTGTATCTAGGTGCATGTGTATACTGGCCCAGCGCCGGGTCCATACCGGACACTTGATATGCAGGCACTATTATCAATACTGCAATATCGATAACTATTAATACAGTCCAAAGAACTGCAAACTCGCATCTTCCTGCCCAAACAAAAAACGTCATAGAGCATAAAGGCCCTCCAAGAGTGGACTGCTTCAGAAAACAGAATTTAGCCATTAAAGATGATATTTAGGAACACGGTAGAATATGTAAACCGTCCCCCGGTTAAGAAAACTCCATCTGAGGACAAGTGGTAAAGAGAAGTGTTCTTCTGTACACAGGCTGAAAGGAAACGTGGGAGCATCCACCAGCTGCTGTGCTGGTGTGGGGTCAGTACTGTCAACTTGGAAAGCTTCCCTTTAATGCGGTAAAATGCTGTTTTAAACAATAATGCGACTCAGTTTTAAGGAAGAGAACTCCAAAATCTTCAGGGTAAAATCAGCACTGTATCTTTCCCATCCGCAGTTAATCCTCGCTGGGTGTGGGGGGGAAGGCCTAATGATTCGGGGGCTTCGGCACGAGAGAGAACCAGGCCTGTGGGACTTGAACAACTGCAAGGGCTACAATTTATTGCACATGTACTTTTTGTCAGAGACAGCGCATGTGTTCCTCGAGCATTATTTCACTTAATCCTCACAGAAACTCTAGGAGATAGGTATTAATATTGCCCTCATTACACATGTGAGGAAACTGCTGCTCAGAGAGGTTAAGTCACCTGCCTAAAGTCACACAGGCAGTGAGCAGCAGCTAGATCTGCATCCACCTCTATGGATCTGTGGAGCCGACGCCTCGAATTATGACACTTGAAGGTACTGCATCATTATCTAACGAAGTCATGTACCCTTTCCTTCACATATACAGTTCCCTCTCCTAAAATGCCCTTCCTCCTGTCTACTCAGCCCACTCCTGTTTTTCCTTCTAGATCCCAGACCGAGTATCTGCTCCTCTGCGAAGGTTTCATAACCACTGCTTCCCCAGGCGGGCTTCTCATCTTCTCCCGTGCACATCCTCAGCGTCTTGGACGTTCCTCTACAGGAGCATTTATCTCACCCTGCCCTGATCTATCCAACGTGTGTCCATCTCCCCCGTGGGGCTCTGTGAGCAGGGCGAGCACAGGCAGTGGGTCCTACTCACCACTCAATATGTACCTAGTGCCCAGGTAAGTGCCTGGCACAGGATGGGCACCCAAAAACACACATCTGTTAAGTGAATTAATTGGGAAGAGAGGATAGTTCTAATACATCTTCCTTACACCCCCTAACCATATTGGACACAGAGTGTTTAATAAATATTTTGTGAGTAACTGGATGAAAGGATGGATAGACGGATGGATGGATGGATGGATGGATGGATGGATGGATGGATGGAACGGAAAATGGTAGGGAGGCAATAAAATCAGCCCTCACCTGAATGCCCCAAGTCTGCAGCTGCTCCTCTGCGGCCCCCAGATCAAAGGCGATGGGTGCACAGGTGTTGTCAATCCGGAGAACCGTGAGGACCTGGCCATTGTGGAGCTCTGAAAGCAAGACCGGAAGCTTCATCAGGCTGAGAGAGAAGCACTTTGGATGAGCCCAGAGCCTGACGGCATCACCTCCTCTGGCTGCGAGAACCTTCTCATGGCAAGGAAGGACACAGTGGCTGTCCTCAAATCCCTCCGGGAGAAGGACTGGACTTGGCCTGAAAGCTCCCAGGAGGGAGAACTGGGGTGTGGAGGCTAGTAGGACACAACAGGAGACCACATAAGAAAGAACTTCCCAAGAATGCGAGCCATCCACACACAGAATGGGAGGTAGTGAGTTCTCCATCACAGGGGATATTTAAACAGAGACGGAACGACTAACTACATTGAGGAGATGACACAGCAGACATTTATCTGAGCACTGCAAAGGAAACTCAACCAGATAAGTCTTACCTTCCCGGTGGGCTCAGACGCTAAGTAAGAGAGAACCCAATGTGGGGGGCAGAACAAGGAACCCCCAGAGATGTCCCCATCCTGCTCCCCAGAACCTGTGAATACGTTACCGTACATGACAAAGGAGAATTAAGGTTACAGAGGAGTTAACGTTGCTAATCAGCTGGCCTTAAGTAGGGAGGTTACCCTGGATTATCTGGAGGGGCACGTGTAATCTCAGGACCCTTAAAAGTAGAAGAGGGAGGGGGCCGGCCCGGTGGTGCAGGCAGTTGGGTGCGCACACTCCGCTGCGGCGGCCCGGGGTTCGCTGGTTCGGATCCCAGGCGCGCACCGACGCACTGCTTGGCAAGCCATGCTGTGGCGGTGTCCCATATAAAGTGG